CAAACACCAGAAAAGAAACTTGATGAAACAGTTCTGGACACGCTTCAACAGCAGCCCCAGACTATCCGCGGTCAGGTACCGGACTATCCGGAGTTTAGAGCAGCAAAACACGACCAAAAGGGACCTTCTGCTCGTGACATGAACAGTAAATGCGGACTGTCCGGGGGTCAGGGTCGGACTGTCCGCGGGTCGCGAAATCAACACGAACAGAGTCGCCCGGAAATCGACCGGAGGAAGGAAAATCCTGATTTGCAGCCAAATCAAAACCAATTGCCACTAAATTTTAAGAGTGAATTCCTTATTTGACACTGGGAAAATGAGTCGTTCCTTTCTTGGCCCTGAAATTTTCTTCGTTCCCTATTTGACACTCACTTCAACTTTCATCCCTAATTTGACACTATCGTCAAATTCGTTAGCTAACGGTGTTAACTGGCTGTTAAAAAGACGTTTTTGCCCTTAGAAAAAAAAGTGACAAAGCAAATCTGTGAGGAAAAAAAACTACGCCCGCCTCTGATGCATGCGCCCAGCTGAAAAAAAGGCACAGGTTTTTTCTTCCTTTCAAATTTGCTTCGTCGCTTTTTTTCTAGGGGCAAAAACGTCTTTTTAACAGCTAGTTAACACCGTTAGCTAAAGGATTTGACGGTAGTGTCAAATTAGAGATGAAAGTTGAAGTGGGTGTCAAATAGGGAACGATGAAAATTTCAGGGCCAAGAAAGGAACGACTCATTTTTCCAGTGTCAAATAAGAATTTCTCTCAAATTTTAACCACATGGTCACAAGGCAATATGTGAGCTACTCCTAAGAGATCATCGTCCAATTTGAAGCCAATCAACGGAAAATCAAGAAACCCCGAACAAAACCGATTTTCCAACCCTAAAGCTTGATTCATCCTGATCTATGAATTCGTGAGGAATTAGATAAAATCCTTCAGTAGAAAGACTCAATCCACGTCCTAGTTCATCTTAGTGTAAAAGGAACAAATCAAAACGGTCTTAAAACGACGAATCGAACCACACAAGACAAGGAAGAAAAAGGGAGAACGCAAAGAACACAAACGCGATTCACAAGAATTTCTCACAAATCGAATCCTGGAGGACACGAGGAGGATAGGGCCTCCATTCCCGCTGCAATCTTTGGTTCTTACATAAATTCTCCAATTTGTGGACCTCTCTCACAAGAAAACCTAAGAGGAGGGGAGAAACCTAGAGAAGGATGAAGCAAGAATGAAAGAGGTGAGGGAGATGGGAGCTCTCTCATCCTATTTAATAGGACTATTATATTACACAATTCCAGTTTTGTCCTTAGATGGGGACACGGCCCCCACTACCCCTGGTTCCGCCTCTGCACATCCATGCTCGTCAGTGATCATGGGATGACATGGGTGTGATTGCCGGGTTGCCTATTTGACGTGATTGCCGGGAAACACTGTGCGTGGTGAGGTAGAAATTACCGGAGGCTGCGGTGTCGCACGTGTACTCGTCCTGCCGGGTAGATGCGGGGTCGCACAACCTATCGTCCTGCCGGCTAGATGTTGACCGTAGGAATTTTTTAGTTGTATAGAGATATAGATATAGAGATAGAGATAGAGAAGAGATTGTTTTGCAGTTCACATATGCAGGCACGCGGCACGCCCCCACTCCGCGGCAAGACTATAGGGTGAAGTAATGGTGATTTCCTTTTATAGGAACCTAGATTATTGAATTCCGATCCTATCCATGTGTTAAGCGGCGTGCTACAATCGCTTACACCGTGAAAGGATACAGGTGATGCTGTTTATTCATCCATCGCCATTATTTCCAGCCGAAGGCATCTTTGAAAGTTTGGTGTCTATGTTTTTTTGGGATGGAAGTAGTAATTAAGCTATTTCAATATACAGCTAGGTGGATGGCTCATCTATGAAGCACAGATGGGTGCAAGAGGTCTAGCTAGTGAATTGGATGCAACTCTTCTCTCTCTTCTTCTTTTTGAAACTAGCTCTTCTCTCTTTTTTTATGAAAAAAAGGGAGGGACCGGTTTTTCGTTTGCTTCCAGCCTTCCAACGCATTGGCTTCCTAGTCGAATAATTAATCTATATCTATAAATAATAATAAAGAGATAAAATTTTAGCCTATTTTTTCCGTCCATCCATTTTTTTGTCCGTCTCCCTCTAACTACCGGACAATTGAGAGTTTCTTTCATCCGGACTTATATATATAACCCGTGCTCATACAAGTTTGAATAGCTCTTGTCTAGCGTGATACGGAGTCCGATTCCAAAACATAAGAAAAAAGGAAACATTATGCGTGAACATGTTTTATATAAGGTAATAACGTGGATGAGTAGGAATCCTAATCAAACAGATCTCTTTTTTTGACTAACCTAAATAGGAATCTTATCCTCTCTTACCTTTCACGATTTGGTCATGATACATAATTCAACTATACTCTGTATATCTCATATTTTTTAAGGTAACATGGATAAGTACGAATCCTTATCAAATAGATCTCTCTTCTTGACGAACCTAAATAGGAATCATAACCTCTCTTACCTTTCACGATTTTGGCACGATATAATTTTATTGTATATTATATATTAACCTCAATCCGTTCAGGCGATTTGTCATCGGCAGCCACCGCGGCGATGCTGGCGTCACAGACCGTGCATCGTGACGTCGAGGGCGATACTGAAGAACCCGTAGATAAGGCGACGGGTGCACCGGATGCCCAATTTAAAAAGAGCGTGCAGGAGGTGCTGGACCAAGTCATGATCGGCCGCGCGACCACGTGAGTCGCTGAACCATGGAGATGTCCTCGGCCGTCTACTTCGAGTGGACGTTCACCGACCAGTCCCTGCCAAACGAGCTCGCAAAGCGAGGGATTACATCCAAGCAGGATCCCCGGACCGCCGGCAGCGGCGGCGCGACCAGCGCCCTGCACCTGCACGTGGAGGACTACCTGTATGCGATGGACGTATGACGCACCATCGAGGGCTGGGTGCGGAGCTACTACGCCCACTTCTACCATTCAGACGCCGCGGTGGCCGCCGACGCCGAGCTGCAGGCGTGGTGGGTCGACGTCCGCCAGCTCGGCCATGGTGACCGCCAGCGTGACCTGGCGTGCTGGCTAGAGCTCGACACCGTGGCCAACCTCGCCGAGTCGCTGTCCACGCTCGTCTGGATCGCTTCCGTGCTTTCGGTTAGTACAGCTACGCCGGGTTCATGCCCAACCGGCCCACCCGCTGCCGCCGGTTTGTCAGTTCGTGCCACTGCCGGGCTCCCTGGAGATGGCGCAGCTGGAGGCCGACCCGGACAGGTTCTTCCTCAACACAGTGCTCGGCCGCTTCACCAGCACTCTCGGTCTCACGCTCATCGAGGTGCTCTCCAACCACACCTCCGACGAGCTCTACCTGGGCCAGCGCGCCAGCGCGGCGTGGACCAACGACGGCGAGGTGCTGCAGCTGGTGGACGGGAAGTAACGCCATTCATCTACGGAAGCTGAACTCAATCGACGATGTAGCCATTGTCCTCCTTTGCTCAAGAAGAAATTGTTTCCAACATGCTAAACCAGCGTTCGTACGTGTATCTCAACGGGATCCCACTCCATGCCCATTATCAAGCCACTGTCAGCCGTCACCGGTTATCGTGAATTCTGACCTACTGATCAAGGCCTGTTTGCTTGAACTTATCAGCCGGCTTATCAGCTAGAATCTACATTATTTTTCTCTCACAACAAAATAACTTCAGTCGACTTATCAGCCGGCTTTAATACCAGCCGAACAGCAACAGCAATTTATTAGATTTCCTACATAAGTACCATATATAGGTTATTAATATATGGTTCTTCTATTGACACATATATGCTGACAACGCCAATCCACGCAGGTGCAAGCTGTATAACATGTTATTAGATTCTTATTACTCTGTATAAGTGCTCCATTTGTTGATGCGTCTTTTTTCAGGTACGCCTTTTTTCCTTTAATGAACTGTGTGAACCAAACCAAACTGTGTTATAGCCTGTCTCCGACGGAACGCTACCCGCATGCATGGTGATGCGGTTCCATGATTCGACCTAAGTGTGCTAGCACATCCATAGACATTACATCTTAAATAGAAGTCCATGGTTATTGAAATTTAATAACCCTTCATCGTGTAATCATGCTCACTATATGATTCAGTACAGATTGGTGATACGTCGCGTACTGTATATGTTCCAGGAAAGTTTGAGCAAGATTGTAAGTACATTAGTGGGTCCGAACCAACATATGAGAATGCATCTTGGTACCCTATGCCTCTAGAGTATGATTTTATTTCGAAACACACCCTCTATAGATCAAGGTGAGGATCGGATATGGTTCAAATTGTTTTGTGTGGATTGTTGATGGGAGGAACAAGCAAACATAATGTTTGTGAAGCTGTTGCATATGCATGACACTACGCATTAAAAAAATAATTTGTATAGCACTAGCACATCTTACTTTTCTTATCCTACAATATCAGAGCCTTTTCTCATGGTGATATTTATCATAATGTTCTAGTAAATCACTTAGTAAGAAGTTACTGTAATCTCGTAAATTAGAATAGTAATTATCGTAACTCAAAGTGGCCACAGAATAAGTTATTCTATGGCGATGCAGAGAATATATATATATATATATATATATATATATATATATATATATATATATATATATATATATACACACACACACACACACACATATGTAATAGTTAGAGCATCATGCAGAGTCCGATCGTCTAATGCATGACACGATCATTAGATAAATCTCTACACCTCCTACGCCCATGCGAGTTAGAGAAGTGCAGGTCCAAACACATTAGGAGTCCACGGTGAACTCAGCCCTACTCAATGTGACCACCATGCATTGGGCGAGGCAGTTTCTGATGTAAGATATCAGCACGGGAGGCATCAATAGTAGCATGATGAATGTGGACAACCCGTCACACGCACAAGTACTTTTGCTAGTAATAATATAAATATGGGCTTCTTTGTTAATGCTACAAAATGGGCCCGAAAGGTGAAGAGACCTACCCCCAGTCAAAAGCTCAAACGGAGCTCAACACGGGTCCGATTCCGATATACGAAGAGAAACAAGAGAGAAACAGGTAATAAGAAGAGGTGAGCGCGTTGCGGCTGCTAACCCAACCCCCCGAGCCCGAGGCCAAAAAACACTGGGAAGGGAAAAACCAAAAGAGCAACCGAAGCAAGTCGTCGTGCGTGTAGCAATGTCGACGCGCGGTGGCGACGACGAGTTCTACCTGCGGTATTACGTGGGGCACAAGGGGCAAGTTTGGCCACGAGTTCCTCGAGTTCGAGTTCCGCCCCGATGGCAAGCTCCGCTACGCCAACAACTCCAATTACAAGAACGACACCATGATCCGCAAGGAGGTGTTCGTCTCCCGCGCCGTCCTCCGCGAGGCGAGGAGGATCATCCAGGAGTCCGACGTGAGTTCGCCTCTCCTTATACTTTCTTCGTCGATTCGGTCCTCAATCTCTCCGTAAAACCTAATTAGCTAGGGTTTGCAACTAATGACAGAGGCCTCGCATTGATTCATTGATTGCTTGACTCCCATCGCAGATTATGAAGGAGGATGACAGAAACTGGCCCGAGCCCAACTACATTGGCAGGCAGGAGCTCGAAATCGTTATGGGCAATGAGCACATCTCATTCACCACCTCCAAGATTGGATCCCTTGTCGATGTTGAGGGAAGCAGAGACCCAGAAGGCCTACGCATCTTCTACTACTTGGTCCAGGTTTTTATCCTCAACCCTCCTAACCATTATATATTTTTTTATTTATTCCTTGCCGTGCATTATAGTTTTAGGTGCCAACGATATTCAAATCATAATATATAGTTGATGCCAGTACTAGATACTTGTTCACTTGATTTTTTTTAAATTTAACAGAGCAATGCAGGTCACCAGTATGTTATTTTAGTAATGAGTCATGGCTGGCTTTACTGGTACCATATTGTGATGTCGCCCAGAATTATCATCTTGCAGTCAGAATTCTGAGCTTTGTCATTTGGTCTTTTGCTGGGCATTGGATAAATTGATTGAAACCTCAGGCTGTGTTCGCTGGACTGAAGAAACCAGCCAGCCGGCTGGTTTTCCCTCACGTGGCACTATTCATCCATCCAGCCAAACATTGTTTCTCTCTCACAGAACCAGCCAGTTTCAACCAAGATTCTGCCAGCCGAACGGGGCCTTCTTCTCATGTTGTTTAAATAGCCATTGATTTTTATGTTTCTAGTACCAACTGGCAACTGCCCTTCAGAAAGTTAGCTGACTGATGATGCTATTTATTTGAAATTAGCTATTTCCTTTTATTTACACACCCTAAAACTAGTTGAGGTTTTATTACCTCAAGCATTATTTGTATGCCAATACTTGTTTCATGGAAAGGTTAGATAAACAGGTACTAACATTGTGGCCATGTGGTTTCCTGCACTGTTTATGTATATTTGTCAATTTGATGCCCCTGTCCTAAAATTGACCAAATTCATCCATCTAGTGTAGATGTTTTTATGTTGATACATCCTCAAAACTTCTCAGCTTGCCAAATCGTTTCCATTATGAGTACATTATAGAATCTGGATCACTGCCATGGGGTTAATTTGAATGTATTCCAAAAGCATGAAATGAGGTGGATGTGTTAATCCATCCTGGACTGTCTGGTTTTAATTGTTGTGGAACTTATTTTTGTCAAGCACTGTAAATGAGATCTACATTGCTAATGTTTCCCCCTCGTGTTTTTTCACAGGATCTAAAGTGCTTTGTGTTTTCGCTGATCAGTCTCCACTTCAAGGTCAAGCCTATTCAGTCATGAACTTCATTCCCTTGGTTTGCTATGGTAATGCAAGTGTTAGGAAACCAATGTATCATGTAAGATCCTGAGTTTATCATGATGCAGATGCACTTGGAGCGGTTGGTACTCCCTTTTTAGTCAGCCTGGGTATGGATATTTATGCTTCTGGGTTTTATAAGGTTATGTCTGGATTCAGGGGTGTTCTTTTTATTTTGTCAGTGGGTACTGCATATAAGGCCTTGTTTAGTTCCTCTCCCTAAAGTTTAGTCCATATCCCAGGATGTTTGGACATATGCATGTAGTATTAAATATAGACTAAAAAATAACGAATTGCACAGATTACGACTAATTTGCGAGACGAATTTTTAAGCCTAATTAGTCCAAATTTTGATAATGTGGTGCTAAAGTAAAGCTATAGTAAACATGTTCTAATGACGGAGTAATTAGTCTTAATAAATTCGTCTCGCGGAGTACCGAGGACTTCGGTATTTTATTTTATTATTATTATCTGAACACTCTCACGTGACACTTCGATGTAGCATCCGATGTGACGTTCCTAGACTTTAACCCATAAATTTAAAGGCCTAAGGCCCTTGCGCCAAACTGTACTGTTCCTTGACTAGAGAAGATGTACAGTACTGGCACACCGTTTGACTAGTACTTGTGGGCCCAGACATTCATTCCCTGACGTTCGCCTGCGAAGGTCTAGTGCTCGAGCTGCATTCGCTGTGCGTTCTCTTGCCGCCAGCATTACACGACAGGAGAGACGGATAATTTCATCACCACAAAGTAAAATTATAGCACTGGTGCGCAACAAGTCATTTTGTACATACGCCGGTCCATGATCTGCGCAACAATTCATTTTGTATCACGTCATTTTGTATACACATAGACCGTGTTTGGGACCAGTAGCATAAGTTTGGGACAAATGGCAAAGACAGGAGGCTGGAAGGGCCCGGCCCTCCTAACTTGGCTACTTTTCTATTACAACACTTAATGATTTGGCTAATCTACTAGGTAATTAATATATAATAATTAAAGGATAAATGAGCCCCTAAATCTAAATCCTCGTTTCACCACTGTTTGGGACATCTTCCACCGTGGGGTGCCACAATCTTTGATCCGTGGGGTGTGGTGCCCTAGCCAAGCTGTTTTCGTAGTTCATTCTTGTGGTGGTTGAGTCGGATGTGGTTACGAGAATCGAGTGGACCACATGGTGTTTGACCGGCACTTCTCCCTTGACCGCCAATGCAAGATAACCCCCTGACCGCCAATGCAAGATATATTAGTAATTTGTTCCTATATATACGGATCAAGAAGCAAAGTACTTGTTGACAACAATTTGGACCCAAGATCAAGAATGAATTGCCATTATGAAAATCAAAATCAGAGCCGAGGTGCCCACTTGTTTTATCAAGTTGGCACAAGAGAAAAAATTACAAAGGTAAAGAAGAAGATGGCATGGGTTCTCAGAAGAGCAGTCAAGATAAGAGTGACGTGCAACCATCTAGTGTAGATGGTTCAACACAGGTGAAGAGAAGAAGATCAAACAAACAGTTAAGCCCAAGGTTTGCTTCAAACCATTAAGATCTTTGGTTGGCACATCATCCATATTCCATAACCATGCCACAAAATCATATGTCATGGAATCCATACCAACTTACCAAGATATGTTTGGTTACCCCTCATGGCCTACTTATGATCCTTGGATGATATATTACAGAGAGAAGGGTTACCAAATTATTATTCATTTGATTAGTTACAATTTTTGCCGCGCTAGCCAAAATATTTGGGATTCAAAGCTTGATTGTTTCTTATTTATTTCGGATATACACACTTTCGTGAATAGAGTAACTATAGCTGGTAAGTTTTTCGCATATACATACTTTGCCAGATAGCTTGATTGTGTCGGGTCCATAAACCCGGGGGTCCCTAATGGACCCGCTTCCCAACAATACTTGGCCCAGCAGGCGACACAGTGACAGCGCGCGTCTGGGCTGGCCCAGATACATAATGACAGGCCGAGACCACGATCTGATCCCCGACCGGCACCTCCGGCCAGGAGACCTGGTCGGAGCCCCGACCGGAAGGCCTGGCCGAGGTGGGACCGTAGTCCGACTCCAACCCCATTCCTCCGACCGAGGATGTGCCAGACCTTTGCTCGCCTCTCTTTCCCGATCGACACGGTCGGGGCCGACTGGGAACGACCAACCAGGACGCCTGCTTGGTGTGGGCCCAGGGAGCAGGCGGAGCAGATAAGGTAAGACGCTCAAGTCAACCACAATATCGAGGACCGTACCCTGCTATGCCCTGCGCACCTGCAGGACGGTGCCGTCAGGCCATGACAGAAGGACACTATACAGCCTTCCAGACGTGTCAGAGCACAAACAGTATCGTGGGCGGCGTCGTTTGCCATCCCTGGCGAACACTGTGCAGCCTGCCAGGTCATGAACAGTAAGGTGGGCGAACACTGTGCAGCATGTCAGATACAACAGATCATGAACAGTAAGGTGGGCGATGGCATGCCTGAAAGCTCTAGTTTGGTTTTGGTGAATTGATGAAACCCTAAGTGCTAACCTAGTTTATCAAAGTGATTATGAGATAGGTAGCACTACTCCAAGTGGTGAAGCAAATGAAGATCATGACATTATGATGGTGATGATCAAATGCCTGGATTTGGAAAAGAAGAAAGAAAAACAAAAAGCTCAAGGCAAAGGTAAAATTGATATGAGCTTTTCGGTTTAGTGATCGAGACACTTAGAGAGTGTGATCACATTTAGGATCGATAGCCATACTATTAAGAGGGGTGAAACTCGTATCGAAATGCGGTTATCAAAGTGCCACTAAATGTTTTAACTCATTGCATATGCATTTAGGATCTAGTGGAGTGCTAACACCCTTGAAAATATTTGTGAAAATATGCTAACACATATGCACAAGGTGATACACTTGGTGGTTGGCTTATTTGAGCAAGGGTAAAGAAGATAGAGTTGAAAAGGAGTTAGTCGTGCTGGTCACAGAGTGACCGGACGCGTCCGGTATTCTATATAGACTTCGGGTGTGCTGGATGCAGCGACTGGACGTGTCCGGTCGCCATACCGGACGCGTCCGATATTTGGACCCGATGTGAGCGACTAAGTGAAAGTGACCGGACTCTAGCTCAGTGGAGTGACCGAACATTGACGAGTTACTGTTCAGCGTCCGGTCAAAGTGATATAGCTCGGTACAGGTTTTTTAGAGAGCGACCGAACGCGTCCGGTCGCCACACCGGACGCGTTCGGTGTGAACCAGCAAGTCTCGGGTTTTCTGCGCTAAAATTGATCGGACTCTAGGAGCGTCTGGTCCAGTGTGACCAGACGCGTCTAGTCGGCCGAGAGCGGCTCTAGGAACTCTCTAGACTCGACCGGACGCTGCGTCTCCCGTGTCCGATCATTTTCTAATAGCGCGTCCGATCACGTAGTTTTACTATGTGCAGAGATAACCGTTGAAAGGGACACGTGGTAGTCTGGCTGCGATTGGACGTAGCGACCGGACGTGTGAAAGCTCTAGTTTGGTTTTGATGAATTGATGAAACCCTAAGTGCTAACCTAGTTTATCAAGTAATCATGAGATAGGTAGCACACTCCAAGTGGTGAAGCAAATGAAGATCATAGCATGATAAAGATGATGGCATGGTGATGATCAAGTGCTTCGACTTAAAAAGAAGAAAGAGAAAAACAAAAAGCTCAAGGCAAATGTATAATTTGTAGGAGCTATTTTGTTTTGGTGATCAAGACACTTAGAGAGTGTGATCACATTTAGGATTGATAGCCGTACTATTAAGAGGGGTGAAACTCGTATCGGAATGCGGTTATCAAAGTGCCACTAGATGCTCTAACTCATTGCATATGCATTTAGGATCTAGTGGAGTGCTAACACCTTTGAAAATGTTTGAGAAAATATGCTAACACATGTGCACAAGGTGATACACTTGGTGGTTGGCACATTTGAACAAGGGTGAAGAAGTTAGAGGTGAAATGGAGTTGGTCGCAATGATGCTGGCGTCGGTCTTCTGACCGAACGTTGGGTCACTCAGCGACCGGACGCTGAAAGGCTACGTCCGGTCGAGCTGTTAGACGGCACAATAATTAGGGTTAAGCACCGGACGCTAGGCTCTGTCCGATCAAGCGTGACCGGACGCGTCCGGTCGGCAAAAATAGGATTTGGACCCTTATTGGAAACGATCGGACACTAAGGGTCCAGCGTCCGGTCAACAGTGTCAGAGCGTCCGGTCAACATTTCGACCGTTGAGGTCAAACATTCACAGTTGAACGTAGGTGAAATGTGGCCACCATCAGGCGACCGGACGCTGAAGACCAGCGTCCGGTCAATAGGACCGGAGTGTCCGGTCAGCCCGATCAGAACCCAGTGAAGGGGTATAATGGTTCTATTTTGTGGGGGCTTCTATTTAAGCCCCATGGCTAGGTCAAGCTCACTCTCTTGGCCATTTGCATTGACATAGAAATCTTGTGAGCTTAGCCAAAACCCTCCTACTCATTTTCATCATAGATTAAACATCTCTGTGAGATTGGGAGTGATCCAAGTGCATTGCTTGAGTGATTGCATCTAGAGGCACTTAGTGTTCGTGTTTCGCTGCGGGATTCGCTTGTTACTCTTGGTGGTTGCCGCCACCTAGACGGCTTGGAGCAGCGAGGATCGTTGAGCGGAGGGTGGTGATTGTCTTCGGCTTTGATCGTGGTGATTATGAGGGGTTCTTGATCTTTCCCCGGCGGAGCGCCAAAAGGTACTCTAGTGGATTGCTCATGGCTTGTGTGATCCTCATCTTGTGTTGGTTGTGCGGCACCCTATTGAGGGTTTGGCGTGTGATGTCAATTAGCGCGTGAACCTCCAAGTGTGTGAATCGCCACAACGAGGAGTAGCTTGCCGGCAAGCAAGTGAACCTCGGTAAAAATCATTGTCTTCATCATTTGATTCCGAGGTGATTGGTCTTCGTTGTTATTCATCTTTGTGATTGATTGGCT